GTCACCTCGATGCAACGCGCCACGCACCGAATCGCACCGCGTAATGCGACGGCATTTTCATTGATTGCGTAATCATTTCTCCAATATATCTTGAAGTTTGTATGCTTTTTGGCTCCAAGGAGGATCCAAGGCGGAGCCCAAATGAGGCACGAAAAAGCTTAACATTGGATAACGCTAAAAAATCCAAGATTGCAGAGGCCTGGTGATCGTCAACAATCAACGCCTTGCCACCACCACCAGCAGCGCAAGAACGAGCATGGTACCTGGCACTACACAGCAGATCATCGATTGGTCCTTCCATCTACTACAGAAGTCATTTAGCTTGCACATGTGTATACCATGTCTAATTAATTGTGCTTAAATGCACGAGTGGCAGGCTGGTCCTCGATTTTGATGCAGCGATCTCGAGAAGCTAGCGTTACGTCCTGGCACGAGTCGAGCGTGGCCAAGGCAGCGGCGCGCAAGAGGAACCGCATCGAAGCACGCCACGATCGCAGCCGAGACGAAAGTCGCACGTCCGAGCACCTCGAGCGCGCGATTCGTGGGCGCCACAACGAGCGGGCGTAGGCGAAGATGCGTCAATTGCTGCCCGCGCGCTCGCCGAAGGCGTCGCCCACGAGGCGCGCGCCAGAGGATGTTGCGGTGCGCACGATGCTGGGCAGCTTGTAGCCTCGTTGCAAGTCTAGCGAGCGAGCACGAGAGCGTCATCATCGCCGGCAGTCGCGTGCCCATGAGGCCGTCGATAGCATTGACAGGGTTCCGCCCTTGCGGTGACTCGGTCACTCGTCAGGCATGCTGCAACGGCGCCATGTTTGCCGACGCGGCGTGGAAGCGCCTCAACATGGCACGGCCATCGGACGTCAGTGCGGCGGGAAATGTGCAAGATGTCAAATGGCCGCTGGGGTGCTTACTGATGATTGGCTGAAATAGGACGCTTACGCGATATGGGTTGGCCGCTCAATAATAATTAATTTGGCCCTTGCGATTGGCTAAAATGCTGACATGGTGGATGGATCCGCGCCGCAGCCGCCAGTGAGGTCGATCGGTCGCCCAACCTGCGTTTTCAACAAAGTCGCTCATACTTGGCGAGGTGATAGAGGACACTCTAGAGAGCTCAAAACACCTCGTCACGTCGACGTGCGCAATGTCTAGCGCCCTCTACGGGTTCGCCACTAATGGTGGAATATGCCACATCTAGACACATACTACCATATTTAGTGCTTGACCAAGTTTCGTTCAATTCGAATGCACAGCTTTAAGTACGGCTTCGAGCATCGTCATCTACCTATTTCCTACTTTGATGCATTGAGAGAAATCGGGAGGCAGCTGCGTCGAGGCGCTAGGCGATGATGCTCTTCGGAACCGAACCAACTTGCGTCTGCGCAGCGACCGGACGCTGAGGCAATGCAGCCGATCCACCGGCCATGAGATTCCAATACATTGATCTCAACAGGTAGACATGCGCTACAGGTGCAGTGCGTGGCCATGACGCCGTCGTCTGTGACCAAGAGGCGCCATCACGACGCCATCTCGAGCCCTTCCTCTCTTCCGACAGTTTCCCATCTTCCCAGAGCTTCAAGAGACGATCGTCATGAAGCATTCGTGTACTACATGCTCGGTATACTCGATGAGTCGTCAACTACATGCATGTTGAACGAGGTCCACGGGAAATGTCATCACGCAGGTATGCATCGCGAGGGGCCATACCTCGACACTGCCCGCTGCCATCGGTTCCTCTGATCGTGGTAGCACAGACGTCGTGACACCAGGTCCTCTTCATGGCATGGGCGTGCTGCTGGAGAGCTGGCACTGAAGATGTACGAGCGGGGGTTTGAGCCGGAGGACACGGAGCTGCAGTCGGATCAGTTGCTCTGTCAAATGAGGTATCATTCGCATCGTCTTGGATCGCCTCGACCTCCATGACGAGGTAGGAAGCGCGTCCATGTACCTTCGAGCGCCTGGAGCGCTTCCTCCTTCGTCCGCAGGTCGGCCGCGGCCTCGGCAGTCGCCCGCGCCAGCGTCATCGTCTCCATCGCCGGCTTCCGATCAACTGAAAAATACGCGTGTTGGATTGGCCAAAATGTCGTGCTGTCCGGATAGTGTATTCGGATCAAATGCTTGCTTTGCTTTTTAACAGGTTGATTGTTATCTAATACGCGGTTTCACAAATGGAGTCGACGCTGCATGCCAGGACGCAGCGGGTCCTGGACGCTGCCCACGCCACGTACGCCTACGTGGCCTCGACGCGGCTCTACCATGCGCTTGTCGCGCTCGTGCAATGGCTCACGCCCGCCTGCCACGTCATCTTCGCCGTCGTCACGGGTACCAACATTGCGTCTCCCGAGGCGCAGCATGAGCGAGCGCTGGCCAAGGACAAGCTCCAGCACAACGACGTGTACCGCGATCGGCTGCTCGCGCTCGAGATTGACCAGCTTGTCGACATTGGTGATGCGCTGCGCATGACGAGCCGGCAGCGCGACCGCTTCTTCATGACCTTTCTCAAGCTCGACTGGACACGCCGGTCTGCGATCACAGTCAAGGACCTCTTTCTCTACTGTGGCCTTCGCCGCAGCCGATTCGCCGACGTCATCTTACCGCCGCCGCTGCGCAAACAGAGCTTCCGCCAGCTACCCAACCGGTTTGAGATTAGCCCGCTCTTGTGCGCGCTCTACTCGTTTTGCTCGCTGCCGCCGCCCGAGGTACACGATACCTCTTGCTGTTGCACTACTAGTACAGCGTGAGATTGATTCCTTGTCTAGCTGCTGGCGTTTATTGTCGCCACCGCCGAGACCGATACTGTCGTTCTCGACATTCTCAGCCAGGATGTCGAGTACCTGCAGCTAGTCCAGGTCGCCGACGCTGCCATCGCTCGGAACGAGTCGTACGGACCAGGCCTTCGCCTCCAAGCGCAGCTCGCGCGCCTCTTGCAGCTCGTGGTCGGCACGCTCAACCCGCACGAGACCAAGCTCGTGGCGGCCCTCCGTTCGCTCTACTCGACGACCGACGCCAGCGCCATCGACTTTGCTGCTGTCCATGGCATTCATCATGTCTGCGATTTCATCCAGCGGTTCCCAGGTAGAAAACACCATCTCTAGTCGCCTCGAAGCTAACAATTCTGCAGCGATCGTGTACCCTGCGTTCTGGGTGCAACGGACGCTCCGCCGGCGTATCCTCGGGCAGCACTTTTGGCATCGCATGGTCGACCACCGCCGCGACTGGATGCATAGCGGCCACCTCCAGATCTTTTTTAGCATGAGTGAGATTCTACAACTTGGCGCGCCGACGCCGCTGCAGCCAAAGCCAGAGACGCACAAGCACCGCCTGCCCAAACCGCTCTCCAAAGTCCTACCGTCGTCGTGGTTGGCAATCGCTTCACCTGCGTATGCTTGACGTGGTTGGAATAGGCTCCTGACCAAGCGTGAGGCGTCGTATCGTCCCGCAAAGGTCGAGGCGCCGCCGCCGCCGCTCGCAGAGATGCCGCTGGTCCAAGACACGGACGATGTGAATTCGACGCCGCGGTCCAATGAGCCGACAATGTACCTCGCCGACGACGAGCGGCTCCGGTACGAGATCGCTATGGCTATCGAAGGCTATGCAAATGCGGCCGACGCATGGCTCGTCACGGCACACAACCTCATGGCCGCCATCCATCTCAAGCAGATGGAGCTCGATGGCGAAGCGCGTATAGGACCGGAAGCGTTTGCAGCCGAGTACACGCGCCTCGTGAATGGACTTGCGACGCACTCGCTCTCTGAAATGGACAAGAACTCAGTGCGAAAGAGTGTCGTCAAGCAGTATGGCTACCAGTTTGCCGATTTCATTGCGGGGTTCGGGTTTCCTCAGACTACAACGACCAACGATGTCAAAGCCAAGAGCACCAAAACCAAGGGAGTAAAGACCAAGCCTACTGCGCCCATCGAGACGAGCTCTGCATGGGACAAGGTACACGCCTCTACAGTGTCAAGATTCGAACGCTTTCGACTTGGTATAGCTGTACGATCCGGCCGAGAAGCGGCATTTTTACCACAATGTGCACACGGGCGAGTCGGCGTGGGAGCTGCCGCGCGGTGCGACTCTGGCGCCGACGACCAAGCATGAAAAGAAGAAGAAGCGATGACATTAACATTGACTATTTAATTAATACGATTTTCGACTTTGCATTCTGTAGGGTTGGGGGTGGTGGCTATCGCAGCAAGGGATCTTTGGTGCTCTAAGTAGTTATAAAAGCCTGGACGCACTCAGGATGTCAACACCAATTTGTTGCAGAGATGGGTGCTTTTTAGCCCGTCTCCCTATATGTACTCGCAGCGTGCTGGTTCAAGTACCGTCGATACACATGGCAACGTGAGGACTCGCATTCTTACTCTATCGAATATATATAGAAAAACAAACCTACTAGGGCTGGGTCGCTCGCTGCGAAGCAAGCTGTGCTTGGACGTCTTTGGTGCGGTCCAGCAGCGTTGCCAGCATCGAGTGCATTTCATGCGGCGTCGCGTCTTGGCCCCGCCACGCCGGTGGGGCGACAAGAGCCGTCGGTGCCGGTGGGGCGACAAGAGCTGTCGGTGGCGGCGCCGAGACGATCACGCGCGGCGCTTGGTTAATGCGCGCTTCGAGCTGCTTGCGCACCATCGTCGCCATGCTCGTGAGGTACGCTTCGGCGATCATGGCCTTGTGCGGCTTGGTGTCAAAGACAAAGACGGTGCCGATGACATGTTGTCCATCAGCGACGATCGGCGCGGCAGCGTAAAACTGAATGTGCGTCTCGCTGGTCACGAGTGGGTTGTTTTGCACTCGAACGTCGGTGGTCGCGTCGAGAATCACGGTCGGCTGGAGGCTCATGATGGCGTGGCTGCAGAACGAGACGGCGCGCGGCAGCGCGTCGACGTGAATGCCTGTCACCGCCTTGTACCAGATGCGGTCGGCGTCGACAAAGCTCACGCCAGCGTACGGGCAGTTGTAGCCTTTGGCGAGGAGATCCGAAATCGCTTGGTACGCCCGCTCGGGCGGCGTGTCGAGAATCTGAAACTTGTGCAAGGCGGCCAGGCGCGCCGCTTCGTTCGTCGGTACCGGCGGCGGCGGCAGTGAGGCAATCGCGCTGCTGATACTGATGCTAGATGCGCTAATGTGCAGCATCCCGTCGCCGTCGTCCCAGGCCACGTCGCCTGACGTGCCGAGGTCGCTCGACGCATCCGAGACGCGCGGTCGGTCCGACTGCATGAGCATCGTCGCTTGTGAAGCCTTGGGTCCGCGATGGCGTTGCGACCGCTTGCCCGGTGCTGAGATGGCCATGGCGGCCAATGGACGCGGCACGGACGTCGCCGCGCTGCGGTGGTGCTCGGGGCGGTCGGTCGCATACCGCGCCCGGTTCTTGAGAATGCAGCCCGTGCAGATGCGAATCGAGCGCGGTGGGCCGCCCGCCGGCACCATGTTGACAAAGCCCGTGCACGCGGCGCAGACCACTTCGCCGCACTACACAGCGGGATGAGATGACGCGGACGAGGACGACGAGGAGTACCATGCGGCAGTGGTGGCGGCGGCGGAACGGCGTGAACTTGCGGTCGCAGGTGTAGCACGACGGGCGCGCGTCGTCGTCGACCCACTCGTCGCCGCGCTTGAGGTCCGTCCAGTGCACGGTGCCAAGCGGCTGGTCTGTGGGCATAATGGCAAATCGTGTAATCCGCAGCCGCCACATTGCACTTGCTACACGGTGCATTTGTATCGCATTTTTTTTAATTTTTTAGAATGAATATTATTATTTTGCTCCGAGCGTAGACAGGGCAGCACAGAGTGGGATTGCGGCGAGGCCACGTTGGTCGCCGCCGCCGGGCATTTTGTCGACAGCGCCACCAGCACGATGATGCTGGAGCGTCGTAGGCCTTGGTCGTCGGTACACGTGTTGCATCGAGCGGCGACGCCTCGTTGTTTGCCGTGGTGTTGTCTACGTATGGCTTCGCTGGTACTAATACGGTTACACTCGCGTCACCGACTGGATCTCTAGACCCATCGCCGTCGGTGGCGAGTATGCGCCAAGACAGTGCTTGTGCGTCGATCTGCGCGGTCTTTGCGCCGCTGCAATGAGACGGCGCTTCGTGTCTGGTGTCCAATGCCGACTGGTTTGGCTATATCTGCGTCTGGTTCGGCGACGAAGTAGGATTCACATTCTCAAGACGCCGCCACCTGTACTAGTACGAGAAGAATTTGCATCGCCTTCGCGCTCCTTGGTCGGAGATTGTTGATGCGTCACTCAAAGCACTCTAGTCGGTCCATCATCACGCGGCTTTCGCTGCCGACAGGCCGCCTTCATCAGGATGTGGTCGAGAGTGCTCGAGAGTACAACGATTGGATTCGACTGGTCGTCTAGCTGCCCGCTTCATACTAACATTAGTGTCGTCGAGGTCCGAGCCCCAAGATACCAAGGGCTACATCCCCATCACGGCACTATTCCACTGATATGTTTGCGGGTGAGAGGTCGATATAGTAATCGGCAGTACAATGTCGCCAAGAACCTCGATGGCTTGTGGTACGACCACTGGACTGTGGATTCTTTCAGGGGCTATCTCGTTCTTGACACTGGTGAGATGCACAAGTCGCATGGTCGTAGTTCTGCTCATTACTAGTATGTCCTTGTGAAAATGGGTTGTCGAGAGCAAGGTGACGACGACATGTCATTGGGCGAAACATCAAGGGCGCGCTGTCGTTGCGACCAGTGTCGAAGGCGGTTGCACTTGATAGAAACTTGATACAATGCTGGCCCGTGGCGGATTGGGAATCGGTACCGTTTACGCTGTTGACAAAAGTCACCGATACTTGCTCGAATATCCTTCAGCAGCAAAAGTATCGACTCACAAGACATTGTGAAGCTTCTGACAGTATTCTCCAACGCAAGAGTCGCGGCATCGGCCAGTTGCTCATGGTTGCAATGCAAAAGTGCAAAATAGACTAACACGCTGCGAAGATACAAGGACATTCCAGTAGTTATGGAAATTTGTACAACGCTATGTTGGCGCAACGCCATGCTACAGTAGGAGCGTACGCTGTGTCGATACATCGGCGCATTTGCGTGCTAGTATGCGTAAATATATTCATGGCATTTGCCATTTTTAATTTTTAGATATGGTATATGCCTCGAATAAGCATATCTTGGTCCAGCTGTCCATTGTCTAGCTTTTACAAAGAGGATTTCGTTGACGCTGGTCTCGCACAAGGGAATCCACGCGCAAGGCATATTCCCTTGGTCTCACACTGTGCGCGAATGTAGTCGGACTCGTTCTCAACGGCTTGAGCACAGGTATACACGAGTAGTCTGGCCGTTTGCTCATTTTTGCAGGACGATTTACCTGCAGAAGTTGAAATAGCTATATTTCCATCACATTACGAATACCTAAAGTCTCTGTGCAAGAGATGAGGTTGAAGTTGCACTGTACTACGGCTTGGTTACCGCCAGCGATCCGTCATCAAGTCACGATCGGCCGGGGTGCCCATCGCGCCGTTTATCCGGATGTTCTCGTCCCACAGCGCGCCACGTCATTTTTCGAACTCGTCTGGTCCGATGCCACTTCGGAATTCGATGGCGGCCGCAACGAGTAGCTTTGTCTCGGCGCTGGACGCCGAACGCCGGCGCGGCAGCGTCCCCGTCACGGCCATGACGCACTTCCTCGACGGCGGTGCGCGCGCAACCGAGCTCCATGACCGCGCCATGGGTCTTCTCGCTGGCATGGACGAGCCGACGCCAACGTCACTTACCGAGGCGCGGGCACAGACGCTCGCGCATGTCGACACGTTCTACGACCTCTTCCTCGAGCACGGCAGCATGGACCTTCTCATGCGCAAGGCCATGGTGCGCGCCTTCAGCCTCTACGACATGGGCTGGTACATCCGCAACGGCGTGCACTTTGGCCTCTTCCTCTCGGCGATTACGTCCCAAGGCAACAAGGACCAGCAAAACGAGTGGCTGCCCAAGGTGCTCATGCGTGAGATCTACGGCTGCTTTGCCATGACCGAGCTCGGCCACGGTACGACCGCCTCTGGTTGTGGCAGGCGTCACGCTGCGGTCCAGGCAGCGCCGTCGCCGCGCTCGAAACCACCGCGACCTTTGACCCTCGCACGCGCGAGTTCATCCTCGACACGCCGGTGCTCACAGCGACCAAATGGATGATTGGGTACGTTTCTTGTCGTAGCTGCCGCTCACAGCCATGTAGCGCGGCGGGCCACTCGGCGACGCACGCCGCGGTCTACGCGCAGCTCATCTTGAACGGCGTCAAGAAAGGCCTGCATGTCTTTGTCGTACCGGTGCGCAGCCTCGACCCGCCGCACGCGCCGCTGCCTGGCATCGTTCTTGGCGACTGCGGTGTCAAGATGGGCCTCAACGGTAGCATCGAATACGACGACGGCGCGTCATCAGACGTATTAGGCGTCGACAATGGCTGGATCCAGTTTCGTCGCGTCCGGGTCCCGTACGACCACTTTTTGTCGCGGTTCGCGTCCATCTCCAAGGACAACGAGTACATTGCGGTGCCGGCGACGACCGCCAAGCCGTCGACCGCGCTCATTGCTACACGGGGCGAGCTTGTCATGCTCTCGATCAACATGCTCAAGAAGGCGCTGACCATCAGCGTCCGGTACAGCGCCGTGCGCACCCAAGGCGTCGCGACGGGGGCGACGTCCGAGACCATCCTCCTCGACTACCCGAGTCACCAGCGACGGCTCCTGCCTCTGATTGCGACGGCGTATGCATACCACTTCCAGGCCACGTACATCGAGTCGCTCATCGAATCGATCGACCAAGGTATCAATGTATCAACCGGAAAAGCATAATACATCATGGCGTGTAGGGGGCGACGACAGTGCGCTGGCCGAGGTCCATGGCACAATGGCCGGTCTCAAGGCATTTTGCACGTGGGACACGCTGGCGGCCATCGAGACGTGCCGGCAGTGCTGTGGCGGCAACGGCTACTTGGGCGTGAGTGGGCTGGGCGCAATGGTCGCTGACTTCAGCGTCATGGTGACGTTCGAAGGCGACAACACTGTCATGGCCCAGCAGACAGGTGCATATGTCTGCCGCGCGATCGACGCCTACCGCCAAGGGCGCCCGAGTCTGGCCTACTTGACCACGTCGAAGTCGACGTCCTGGGTGCCAACGACCGTGCAAGACATGCAGACGGTGCCGGCGCTGCGCACGCTGCTCGACTTTTATGCGGCGACCAAGGCCCACCGCGTGTACGACCTCTGGCGCCATGGTACGCGGTTCGATCCTATGAAAAAGATCGAGTTTTCATTGTATGTATAGCTCGCACCACGTCGGACCGGTTTCCGTGCCAAGTCGAGTGGATGGACGTCGCGCGCGTTCACGTCTTCCATGCGGTGGCCACGCGGTTTTTGGACAATATTGTCCAGTTGACCGACACGGGTACGCCTTTCTACACACTAGGATTCGGAAGATGACGTGGCGTCGTATAGGCTCGTCGCTCGCTCCCGTGTTGACGCGCCTCGCGTCACTCTTTGTGCTCTGCAAAGTTGAGAAGAGCGGCGCGTTCTTCATGGCCGAAGGGTTTCTGTCGCCGACGCAATATGCAACCGTCCGCAGCGCTGTCGCAGAGCTGTGCAAGGCCCTGCGCCCGGACGCTGTGCAGCTTGTCGACGCGTTCAACTTGCACGATGTGGTCTTGCGCTCGGCGCTCGGCCGCTACGACGGCAACGTGTACCCGGCGATCCTCTCGCACCTTTGAAGTGCCCTTGCATATGACAGATTGAGCAATTTGGAAATTTTTACAAATTTTTCCACAGACTGGCTCCGGACGTCCTGCTTCATATACTGTAAGTAACATGAACTCTTGTTGCAGCGTCCACGGTGTCCTCTCTAACATATGTATGCTTTGCCGGCTTGGACGTGCAATGCTAACAAAAGGGTTAGGTTGGGGTTAGGTTAGTTGTTCCAAATGCTGCCCAGAAGGATACAAGGTGGTATGCCTTAAAAGACTCTAGTCAAGACTGCAGACAATATTGAATCAATGACACTTAGTTGTACAAGCCGCCACCCAGGGTCGCGAGAATCTCTTCGTTCATCTTGCGAAAAATCGGCAAGTCGTCGATTGGCTTCTTCGCGTGGCGCTTCCCCGGGCTTGCAATGCGGTTGGCTTGCGCGGCTTCGGCTTCGAGCCGGTCGTAGAGAGCCCGTCGAATCGCACACTTTATCTTTGTACGCTCGTCTGTCTCGATCGCGGCTTGGCGACTCGCTGCCTCGAACGCTTCGCGCTTGGCCGCGCGGAGTTCCTCTCGTCGGCGCTCCTACAAAAGCGCCATGATAGGGTCTCTGTTGATTGAAAAAAATAAAGTCGATGGCGTACGAGTGCGGCCGGGCTCTGGTGGCTTCGAATGTGCTTGACCAGCGCATACCCCGCGTCCGGCGTTGCCGTGTCTACACCATATCGTTCAAGAGCAACCTATGAACCTCGGCGCTACCTCCCATGAGCAAGCAGCGCAAGCTCGGGCAGCTCGGACCTCGCACCATCTACATCGAGGGATCGAATCGACAGTGTCCATGGCAATGCGTACTTGGTTGAGGTGAGCGATTGTCGTTCCTTGCAGCGGTAAATTGCGGCTGACGTTGAGATGCAGAAGCGACGGGCAACACGACGCTTCGATCGCATCGATGAGCCGGTCCAGCGTCGCCGAGTCCACATCGTTGTCTAGACCGTCATAGTATCAACAGTCATCATATTTTGTGAAGACCGTACAGCTCAAGTCCAAGTGCCGCAGCTGCTGTGCGGTTGTCGACTGAAAGAACGATGCGAAGCGAATGATCCCTGTGCTTTTCGGTGCATTTCCTAGTCCTGTGGTGCATTTTGTCTATGGCACTCTCTCTTCTTACCACTCAAGTCGATGTAGCGCAGGGCGGGGCACCAACGGCCGCGTCGAAACGTTTGAGCCATCGCGTTGAATTCTTGCATCGCCAAGTGCGTGTCTAGTCAAAGATCGTAGATATATTTCCGAAAAATGTACAAAATAACGCAAATATACACGACACAATCAGCGTTTCGAGCGAGCGCAACGCCGACGCGGTCATGGCTGTCCACAGCGCCGTCATACCCGCCCCAATGACGTTGCCTAGCGACCTCGAGGTGAAATGAAAACTGCTGCGATGTGTTTGTACCCGAGATGTTGAGATATGTTAGCGTTTGCCCTGGCATGGCCTCGTAGCGCTGTGCACTCTGAATATAAAACCATTTTCCAGCAAACGCCTGTGTCAGCAGCGGAAAGCTCTCGGTCGTCAGTTGTGTTCCTACAGTAGTCGAGGTAGACGAATGCCACTCTGCATGGACGCCGTACGCGCGAGGTTGAGGTGCCGGAGACGCGGGATGCGCTCCAGTACCAAGCATTTGGCCAGCGCCGCAACACTGTCTTTGCAGAAGAAATTGCCTACACCCAGAGTTTAGAGTAATTTTTACAGCAAAAACACACCGCTGACGTCGAGCGTCGTTAAATGCATGCAGTCGACGGACGAGAGCGCGCGAAAGAGGACGAGCATCCCCGCAACGTTATAGCTAGTACCTAGACAAATGTATTTATGCTTTGATTGTTCGAGTTGGAGTGTACCGCTGCAGTTGAATTCAACGAGGTGGGCAAACACACTACGAGGCGAGGTGCAGTAGACGCCAAGCGCATCCCACGCGTCAATGCTCAAGTCGTTGGCTGAAATATCCAGCGCTTCAAGCGCAGGAAGGTGTTCGAGGCAGGTGAGGACCTCGGGAAAGCTCGCACTTGTGAGCGTTGTATCTGTCGTTCTATGTCAAGTTACGTTGGACACGATCAAGGTCGTACTGCGGAGAGTCCAGGATGTCAGCCCAGTTACATGTTCTCGAACAAACCACGGCGAGAGTCGCACCACGTTCAGGTGTTCGAGTGCATTGTCTATCGAACGATTGTCCATCCAATTTGTTGGATAGTATCCGACAACACTACCCGAGAGATCCAAGTGACGCAAGCGGTCGCTCGGTCGCTGAAAAAGATGGGCAAACAACGCTGCGTACCCAGGAAGCGTCCAATCACAACCTAAACGATTTTGAGCGGCGTAGTTGAAATGACGATATTGTACCTTGAAGTGACAAACTCTCCAGTTGAGCCCACAGTTGCGCTTGGTCCAGTGCCTCGAGCAGCTGCGTGCACAAATGAAGTGGCGATTCGACGAAGTCGACGTGGCCGAGGTGAAAATGGGTCACTTTGGGGAAGCAGCCGTGCGCGAGTGCATATAAAAACACTTGGACTTGTGGCGAAGTCATGTAGTCTATCCATATAGAGGTGATGTCCTTCTAGTTGTCATGGAGGAATATGACAATATTGTACTCAATGAAATGGTCGTGGTGCGAGCATAACGGTGCCGTACGAGCCAGAACGCCTTGCTCTCAATGTCGTAGCCACGCACAAAGGCATGACCTTGGTGCTGCCCCCACAACCGCAGGTCCATCGAACCCACGATTCCGAGAAAGCGCCGACACACCAGCGTCAAATTCAACCGGTCCTTGAGGTTGAGATACGAGAGCACGTGCTTTGGGATGTCGACATCGGTGGCGATTCGATTCCGGGAAAGTAAGTGATCGCGAAGGAGCGTCTGGTAGAGAAAATACCTGCAGCATCATGAGCAAAAAATGCAATACAAAAATATACCGTGTCGGGATCGAAGTCCGGTACGATGCGAGAAGAAGTGGTGTCTGCAGCACGTCCAGTACAAAATCTTGGAGCGTCATCGACACTTCGGCCAACCGCCCAAGCGACGGGAACGGAAGGTAGCTGCAGACGTGCTGAAGATGCGACTTGTGCTTGGCACTCGCAAAGAGCAGTGCGATGGGCCGGTCGGGCGGCGGGGGCACGCCCCCTTTGGCGACGGCGCCCTTCTTGGGACTGCGCTTGAGCGGGTTGAGGTTACCAAGACTAAACTTGGGCGTTGTAAAATTGCCAAAGCCAAAGCCTTTTTTCTTCGTCGGACTCTTCTCGTCGCTTGGCGCGGTGGACCTCTCGGGCGATTTGTTAAAGAACGAACCGACGCGGAACGAGCTCGTGCTACGAAGTGGCGACTCACTTGTGCTAGCATCACCGCCAACGTCGCGGCCTTCGGCTTGGCTCACTTGGCTCTCACCCCGGCCTTTGCTGGGAGACAAGAGCCGTCGCATCTTTCTTTCGGTTTCAGCAACGCGCGGGGTTTCCTGTGATCGAGTTCCTGCTTGCTCTTTGAAGCATATCTCAACAAGTTGATTAACTCGAATCGACGTCATATCTTTCTATCCTCAACAAGTTGGACAATACAATTTGTCGATGACGTAGCCTTCAGAGACTTCAACTCGACACGCAGACGACGTTCGAAGCAAGCGTTGCGCAAGTCCACAGAGAGGAACTCCGCGACTACGAAGAGCCGGCGCCCGGAATCGGAAGCGTCTGGTCAACAGCTGCCTCGACAACTGCAGTCCGAGCACCCGGAAGCACACGGGTAGCAGGTTGACTGCGCGGCTTGGTTTTCGAACGCCAGCACCAGCACAAACAGCCACCAACACAAAGCACGAGACACCCGCCAGCGCCTGCACCAATCAGAACAGCCATCGGGATACTACTGCTCGGCGCCGCTGCCGTTGTTGTCGTTGGCGTTGTTGTCGGTGTCGGCGCCGGCGTCGTGGGCACAGCCGTTGTCGGCGATGCAACGGACAAGGCGCCAACTTGGTTGCTGTTGGCAATCACTTGGTTTCGAACGAGACTAGCGCTGATGAGGGACGGTTGGTTCTGAATCGTTTGCATCGAGCTGGTCGGTGCTGCGACCGTGAAGACAACCGCGACGCTGGCTGTACTCAGTTGGCGAGCCCGCTGTCGGCTAGTTACGTTAGTGACACTTGTGATGACGACGTCTGTGGCCCCGATCGACGTTCCTTGCTGCGCAAACGTCTCGACGACCGAAAGGACAAACGCAGACCTGGCCGTCGGGCTAAAGTCACTAGCTGCGAGTCCTGAGAGCACCAACGACGCCTGGGCGGGGGGCACCGCCACTGCCGGCGCGGTCGCCGCGCACGTCGCGCCCGTGAAACCCGTCACACAAGCGCCACACATGGAGAGACTGCCGGTCGTCGAGTTGCAAGCGACAGCAGTTGCTGCTGCACAGTTGCTGCTCGGTGTGCATTTGTTCTCACAGCGGACACCCCAGAAACCCACGATGCAGCGCGGACACGTCTCGATGGTTCCATCGTCGGCAGTGCACGCTGCCGTGTAGCACGCGGATGGCACCGAGCACATGGTTTGGCAAAGCGAACCCCAATAGCCCGCGACACAGCTGGAGCAGGCGCCCACGCTGCCACCGAGACTGCTGCAGGACGAGACAACTTGACAATTGGACGCCACACAAGGCGTCGCGCACGCTTGGCCCCAGTACCCGGCTGGACACAAGGCACCCACTGTGAAGTACGTCGCGTTATAGATGGTATTTCGAAACGTCGTCACCATTTCCCGCGTCGCGAGGGCATTATTGAAGCTCTCGGAGGTCGGGTAAACGTTTGAGACACTCGATGGCACCATGGCGGTGATCCAGACCGTGCCCGTCGCGGGGTTGATGCTCTGTATCGCAAGCACGGACGCAATCAGATCTGGGAGTCCGAGTGCGACGCCGAGGTATTTCAAAAGCGCGGCCTTGGAATTGACACTCACCGCCAGCGTCTGTGCATTGCCAACGTCGATCGCAATCGCAATCGTTGCCGAGTACGGAGGGTTGTAACAGTAGCTGAGCATGCTGTGCCGTTCAGCAAGCGACGAATAAGATAGAAGCTTCGAGTACTCCCAATACAGTTCGATGTGCGGTTGAATGTGGGCCTTGTTGATGCCAACGTACACGAGAATCTCGAGCAAATGCGGAGTCATGCAGTTGCCATAGACGTATTTGCTCGATGGGTCAATCGCTGGCGTGGACAGCGCCGGTAAGACGCCAGCCTTGACGTTCAACTCGAGATAGAACGTGAGGTCGACGGTCGCGCCAAAATTGACGGCCGGGGCCACGACGACGGTCATGTCAATGGTCGGTGTGGTCTCGGCGAGAAATTTGAAGACGACGTAGTCACCTGCTTTGGGCTGCTGGACCTCGTACGTCACGACTTTGGTCACCTCCGTCGTCACCGTGTCGGACGCCGACGAGTCAAAGTCCATCGTCGCCCAGAGACTCGACATGGAGACGGACTTGGAGATCACAAACGGGTTCGCCGACGTCTGCATCGTGGCTGTGAACGCCTCGTCGACCGAGAGCGTAAAATTGACGAGGATCGGGACGCCAATAAACGCGAGCGGCACAGCCGTGGACGTGGAGAAGATCCGCTTAGACCACGTCTTCGAGACGCCGTCTGGGGCGTACAGCGAGATGCCCATGCTAGTGTAGCTCGCAGCGGTCACCGACGTTTTGCCCGTGGCCCACGGCGAAAATCCATATGCTAGCCCATAATCGTACGTGAATTCGGCTTCATTGATCGCAAACCAAAAACCGCAGTTGGCACAACCGACACGAACGCAGCCCGACCCCGGTTGCGCGGTGAGGTAGTTGCCACTGCCGCAGCCCGCCGAGCGGTAGAGTTCAATGTCGGGGTCGGCAAAAACTTGGCCGTCGGTGGCAATGTTGTAGGTTAAATTCACACTCGACGTCGCCCCGGGCGCGGGGAGGCAGTCGTAGATGTAGCCGCACGCCTTGGTCTTCCCGCTCGAGTATGTATACATCTTGTACTGAGTGCCGGGGCAATTGTAGTTGACGGAGATGTCCGATGCGTACTTGAAGCACTGACTAGCGTCCAACGATTAGGCGCGACACGATGTCGTACAAGAGGACGCCGGGACGTAGCGATCGTAAAAGCCATACGTGTCAAGGCGCCGATTGGTTGCAGAGGGAGAAGTTGATGCCATCACGTTGCCCAAGTCGTTGGACTTGAAGCGAATCGACGTTGTCGCAAACGTCTCGTTCAAGCTCGCTTGCGACGCCCAGAGGTGGACGATATTGGCATATGGGCTCACCATGATCTCAGCGACAAGTAGTTGCGCAATGTGCAACAACGTGTCGTTCTCGTCCTTGCAGCCCCACGTCGCGGATGCGATGAGCACTTGGCCAACCGCGTACGGCAACAAGTTGCTCTTGTTTGCGACGTGGAGGTCCATGGCTTTGCCACCTACGGCGTAGGCACAGCCGTCCATCGAGAGCGCGTTCGGGTCGGCGTCGAGACTCCACGCTCGTGGGCTCATCGAGTAGTTGTACGAGATCTGCGTGCGCGCAATGCCCTTCTCGTCAATGGTATCGATGCCTGCCGGCAGCACAAGGACCGATCCAGTGAAGAACTGGTCGGTCGACCAGTTGGTTTGCGTCAAATCGAGCGAGTCGGAGATCGCCGTGAGTGCGTCCGGGAGGTTGTCGTGGACCTCGATCAGTGTCTCTGGCGGCATCTCGTGAGCCCAATCGGTCGTGTTGAGCTCTTCCTGAAGAACACGTAAACTGGCGCTTGCGACAAGCGAGCAGCAGAGCGCGAGGACTGCCGCGCGCATTTCTTGGAGCGACGTTGGTTGGCAAGCAGAAAAAGATACACTGCGCCAGAGGTCTAACCGTGGGGCGTCGGTTTTGTGCCTTGTGCGACAGGCGTTTCCGACGACCGGTCGGCGTCGTGTATAAAACCAATGGCGCGTATTGTGCTCCTGTTCGACGAGTACCGCACGAATCACGGACTGCTAGGTCGACGGGAAGGCTCATTTCAAAGGGTTAGTAAGACGTGCTATTGACACGACATCATCGTCTGGACGTTGGCAGCGTTGCTCGAGTAAAGTGTGATTGAAAACGTACCAGCACTCGCTTCGTTTTCAACACAATCGACACCCGATTCGTTTTAATTAAGCAGAATCGACGGCCCTTGGAATGATCCCAAAGATAGTTATTGGCACACATGATTGGCTCGACCTTTTGCGATGGACAGGCGGCACGCGCCTTGTTCTGGGGAAGGAGGTGTTGGGCATAGTTGCGTTGGAGCTCACCAGTTGGGGCGGGGTTGAGGTTGTACCACCATAAGACATAGCCTTGGACCCACAGATCCATGGACTTGAAAACCTCCGCCCAATTCCCGCGCACTGAAAGATACACTCGTTTTCGCGCCACAAAGGGTTGCTGAAATTGATTGGCTGCATCGTGCCGCCGCTACTCTGTGATTGGGCAAACCGAAAGGGCACGGTGACATTGCCGTTGGGCCTGGAATCTTGGCGGTTTCATTCATTGAAACTGTCAAGTCGAAGACAAACCAGTTGGCGTGGGACTCTGCACTTTGGGCTGCGATGGTGCCCGGTCATCGTCCTTGTAATGAACTTGCTATCGAGCTGCTATGTCTCCTTATGTGACCAGACAAAGCGGCGGACAAACACTAAAGGCTACGAAATGGTTCGCGATTTCTTGGAGGATATTGTGGTACTTCCAGAAGGAAGTTGAGTTTTTGCCGTCCGGAGAGACGCGAAGAGTCGACAGTAGGCTAGATACTCATTTTGCATTAATTATAGCCTTGTGGATCCCAAGTGACTCCCCAAAGGGTTCCGATGCCCTCTCCGTCCAAGTACGTTCTCTTATTCCTGGAAGACTTTGCCGGCGACGCGGCCTCAATGCCGTTGTACGGTCGCGTTCACGCCGTTCGCCAGAATGCGGTTGCGGTCGAGCTGGTCGACGTGCCGACGTCGCTCGCCGCCAAGTGGTGTCGGTCGAGAAGCCCGAAGCTCGATGCGTGTCGCGCCGAAGCTACGCACTTCATGACCGGTCGACTCCTCCGTTATTCCGTTCGTTGCGTCTACCACTGCTCGTGTGACCGGCCAAGTCGTCGACCACAACCCGCCTCTCTTGCCTTTTTTTGCGCCCGGCAGGATACATCCTTTTTTCGATCCTTTTTGACGATTCATCCAGGCTCTCTCGGATCGAAGTTAGATACATCCGTCATAGAAGTCGCATTGACTAATTGAGCGACTGATCCATGGCGTCCGTCTGTGATTCACCCTTGGTACGACGTCGGCGCTCGACGATGCGTGCAACGTGGGTGTAGGGCGCTGAGCTGTTTGCTGCTGCGTCCGATGGTCGCCTCGACGACGTCCAGCGCCTGCTCAAGGAAGGTGCCGACGTCTACTATACCGAGGTGCGATCGACACGCTCAATGGCACATCGACTTGTCCTATGGCGTAGGATGAAGCGACGCCGCTGCAAATTGCTGCTGACTACGGCCATGACACCATCGTCAAGGCGCTCCTCGCCGCCAACGTCGCTGTGGATCACGCTACGAGCGTATGTTCCCTCAATTTGCGCTCTTGAATGTAGGCTCACATGTCATTGATGCTGTAGGATGGAGAGACGCCACTGTTTATTGCTGCTCAGAGTGGGCACGACGCCATCGTCAAGACGCTCCTCGCCGCCAACGCTGCTGTCAATCAAGCTGCGGACGTACGTTCTCTTCTTTTGCGCTCTTGAATGTTGGCTCACATGTCAATGATGATGAAGAGAGGAGCGACGCCGCTGCATATTGCTGCTGACTACGGCCATGACACCGTCGTCAAGACGCTCCTCGCCGCCAACGCCGCTGTGGATCAAGCGATGAACGTACGTTGTCTTCTTTTGCGCTCTTGAATGTTGGCTCACAAGTTGATGATGATGCAGGATGGAACGACGCCGCTGATGATTGCTGCTCTGAGCGGCCATGACACCGTCGTCAAGACGCTCCTCGCCGCCAACGCCGCTGTGGATCAAGCGATGAACGTACGTTCTCATCTTTTGCGCTCTTGAATGTTGGCTCACAAGTTGATGATGATGCAGGATGGAACGACGCCGCTGATGATTGCTGCTCTGAGCGGCCATGACACCGTCGTCAAGACGCTCCTCGCCGCCAACGCCGCTGTGGATCAAGCGATGAACGTACGTTCTCATCTTTTGCGCTCTTGAATGTTGGCTCACAAGTTGATGATGATGCAGGATGGAACGACGCCGCTGATGATTGCTGCTCTGAGCGGCCATGACACCGTCGTCAAGACGCTCCTCGCCGCCAACGCCGCTGTGGATCAAGCGATGAACGTACGTTCTCATCTTTTGCGCTCTTGAATGTTGGCTCACAAGTTGATGATGATGCAGGATGGAACGACGCCGCTGATGATTGCTGCTCTGAGCGGCCATGACACCGTCGTCAAGACGCTCCTCGGCGCCAACGCTGCTGTCAATCAAGCTATGAACGTACGTTCTCTGCTTTTGACGGTTGCGCTCTTAAATCTCAAATGTCGATAATGCTGTAGAATGGAGGGACATCATTGTTTATTGCTGCTCTCAATGGCCATGACACTGTCGTCAAGACCCTCCTCGCCGCCAATGCTGCCGTAGATCAAGCTTTGAACGTACGTTCTCTTCTTTTGCGCTCGTGAATGTTGGCTCATATGCCATTGATGATGAAGAGCGGAGCGACGCCGCTGATGGTTGCTGCTCAGAACGACCATGACACTGTCGTCAAGACGCTCCTCGCCGCCAACGCTGCTGTCAATCAAGCTATGAACGTACGTTCTCTTCTTTTGCGCTCTTGAATGTTGGCTCACATGTCGATAATGTTGTAGGATGGAGCGACGCCGCTGATGATTGCTGCTCTAAACGGCCATGACACCGTCGTCAAGACGCTCCTCGGCGCCAACGCTGCTGTGGATCAAGCTAGAAACGTACGTTCTCTGCTTTTGCTTCTTGCGCTCTCAAATTTTTTGGCTCACATGTTGTTGATGATAATTTAGGATGGAGCGACGTCGCTGCTCCTAGCTGCGTATCAAGGACATGACGTCATTGTCAAGACGCTCCTTTGCGCCGACGCAGCTGTGGATCAAACAGCAAAGGTGCGTGTTCACCTCTACTACAAGGTACAAACTCGTCTCGTATGTAGGACGGGGACACGCCACTTTGTGCGGCGTCGCGCTTTGGCTATGCCACAGCGGTGCAAATTCTCCTGGACGCCGGGGCCGATGTCGACAAGCGCGTGCGTACAAGCTTCAACGACCGCGATATCCTGCTCTTGGTATTGCAATAGCGTGCACTTCTACATGCGTCACGAGCTTGACCTAGGACGGGACGACCTCTCTCTTGGCGGCGGCTCTGCGTGGGCATGAAGTGGTTTGCCGCGTGCTGCTCCGTGCCAACGCAAATGTTCACGCGGCGGACAGCGTACAACCTACTCGGTCCGCTGCATGTCTCAGTGATACCCCGATGTGTAGAGTGGCCAAACCGCACGCATTGCTGCAGAGCGCGGTGGGCACGAGTCGGTCGTGCGACTCTTGCTCGATGCTGGCGCCAGCCTCGAGGATGATGAGCAATAGGTTGCTCAACTTCTGCTTCCTTTACACTGGAAACGTGCCTCGGTTCGTGCGCAAACCGTGCTCGTAAACAAAGAATTTTGTGCTTTCCCCATTTTGACTTCGGCCGATGCGCTGTACCAACGAAAATGAATTGGCTGCTGGCCCTGCCGAGACGCCGGACGCACTCGTAGCATTTGTAAGTGGGTGCACACAACGTCGTGCAGTCGTCCGGTGGGACGTGGTATCGTGTCAAGGCGCCGACCGCGCTCCGTGGCGCTATCGATACCGTTGCGTGGCCCAGACCGTTGGACTTGAACCGAATCGGCGTGGTCGCCAACATTTCGCAAGCTAGCTCAAAGATGGACAACATTGGCGCGCGCGTTGACGACCATCTCGCCGGCTACAAGCAGGTGGGCTTCCTCCTGCGCTCGTGAGGCATGACCGGTGCGTCAAGCTGAGGGTGCTTGGTCGTGGCTCGGGATTGTGCGAGCACACCGATGCCTCCAAGCGTGGCGCCGTCGGAGCC